AACCTCCGAAGAGGATGGACTAGGATACTGGAGGGGCGCCCACACCTGCCAGCAAAACGACTCGGGTCCTCAGCCAAAGTCTTCGATTAAATGCACACCCGAAAGGCAGCGGGTCCAGCACATGGTCAGTTCACTGACTCACGCGGATTGGTGTCCTGGATTTTAGTGGGGAGAAGGGCGTAACCCAACTCCCACCCATCGGTCTCCACGAGGAGGCGTCCAGGGGTTGACCCCATGGCACAACAGTGACAGCAGTGAGTAGACTATCTGGCAGGATCTAGCCACCACCAGCTGCAGCGCACCATAGGAAGATACCGTAGCTCACCGTCTCCATATGTCACTTGAGATGGTAGCAAGGATGGCATAGCATAGGTTATGATGAGTACAACATTGTCATGGGCAACATATGAACTCATCGCGAAATACAGCCGGCTTAAGTAAGCTCAATAAAGGTAATTTAGGCGTGGCTCTTTTATTCTATGTAGGTGCAATAAAGATACCACCTTGCACCAAGTCAGTAGTTAATCATTCTAGAATGAAACCTACCCAAGCTGGACTTACCATGCGGGATATAGAATAAGGATGACACAAAGAAAATGACGGAGATGGCGTAAGTAACTTTTCAAGTTAGCAGCGGAATGGTGTGATTATACCCACTGCAGGCTACCCGTATCGGAAGGTAATACCAGAGCCAGTCTGGTCGTCTCTCATCCGAGGTGAGCGAGAATCAACAGGGATATAGAACGACCAGGCAGTCCGTCGTGTGTTACTATTTATTTCCCCCTGGTCATTCGTTCTGACTGCTAGAATTTCTCAACCAAGTCATCAGTGTTTAGAATACTACCTATGCCCAAGCATTTTGATTTGGATATCACGTGTTGCCGCTGTTCCGGAATCAACCTTGATGACTTGTCTGATTCTCAGTGCGTTTACCCTAAAGGTGGCAGCAGTACAACGAGGCGTATAGAGACACTTGAGGTTGGATGCATTGACTACATATTGTAACCCGCAAGTCACAGTGTCACATCACTATGTAAACTCCATGGTATTACTCACCAGACTATGCTATTTTCATTCTGCTCCTTGCAATCGATTTGTAGATTACAAAACCATAGCTTGACCAGCTGCTCAATGCTAAGTATCACGACGCTGAGAGAGCCGGTACATCGCAGTATAACACTTCAGTTCATCCATGAGCTCATTCCTAAATGATGTGCACACTGTGTTTCCGAGCGAATTGTTTGCTTAATACGGATCAATGCTAGGGTGGCAAATTATTGTATATGTTTCCAATTCGATGGATACGTTTGAATCAAAACGTTATCATCGCTTGCCCACTTACAGTACTTATAAAATGTAAAGTTTGACACGGAACACAATGCCCAACGAGTGCCCATCGTGGGACCACATTGGACTATGCATTCGGAGAGAAATTTCCCTAGAAATTCTGTGGCAAGTGAACAATCCCGACATTTATCCTACTAGCGCTTATCACGATGTCGACATTTCATGTTCCGCTCCGCAGGTTAGTAATGAGAGTGAGCATAGTTATAGTTCCAGTTGTTCCTCAGCCATACTGAATTTACCGGGGCTTATGAAAACGCACGTACTAAGCGGATGGAATGCGGAAGCGCAGAGACGCCTATCAGAAGTTTCATTGCACATGGCCAATCTGTTGCATAGACGAAGTAAAATGTCAAACCCAACGGGAATAGTACGTCAGTGTATTAGTATATTACATCGGAAAGGAATCGGCGCATAGCGACAATCGTTTTATGAGCACCAAATGGCTGCACCCGGAGACGTACGATGCAGATCTTTATCAAATAGCTTATGGTGACAACAGAGTACACATGGGTATGTACAAACGTTGGAATACTTGGACATTTGCAAAACAATGCGAGCACTGTTTGGAAAGTCGCATGTTTGACAGTGGGCAGCGGGACTTAGTTGATGTCACCTGTCAATATCAAAGGTTGCGCATCAATCGTTCTTTGAGAATGTGCACGTACCTCGGGTAGCAGATGACCGGACCGATGGGCGACACGGAGAGCCAGAAGTGGACACTTCATCACATTCGCATGCTGTGCAATCTCCCCCATCAGCTAGGCAAAACAGACTGTACATGTAGACGGCAACACCTAAGTGCACACTATTTCACTGTACCAGTAGGTTAGTTATCCCTCTACCTAGCAGTTGCTTCACTGTTGTTATATCGGGTTCCTTCAAGTATGGATGCCCATGATTTAAAACTGTCAAGTCTAAATGTTAAAAAAACATCAACAGTTCGTACTGGGTACTTATCCTCATGCCTGCCGAAGTGGTTGTTAGCCTGACCTCCAAACGAAACCCATACACGTTTGTCGTACCATGGATCATGAGGTCTAACGTGTCTCTATCCTATTTGTGATAGCTCACACTTCAGTTTGGATAAACGTATGTGCACACGCTGTATTCGAACTGCCATTGGATACGGATGCTCCCAATCCATGTATATATGTATTTCGAATGAATTCGACGAGGGTGCTCATACCGCTTTTGTACGACCAACTTAGTGCAGGGAAACGGCACTCGAACAAACCGAAAATAACATTATCAGAACATGAAGAAAGTGAGTTTATGACAAACTCATGTTGATTACAGGCGTTGCGAATGCAAGTCAAATTGTGATCAATGCGAATTCCGTGGACTACTATAAAGCGTGGTTGCTCAGGTGTAGGAGATGGCACTGTTGCAGTTGGAATAGAAGCACCATGAGTACGCTCCCATTCGCTTTACTAATCCAGGCCGATAAGGCAGCGTATGTGGTACGTTCGCCTGCGTGATGAGCAGTCTTGCATATCAGAAGTAGATGTTGCTTGAGCTCCCCTGTGTGGAGGCGCCTGATGTGAATGTTGACAAGGTACCTACATGTCTATTACCCACTACCTCGTCCATACTGGCTCCAGGAGACAGTTGGACGTTGCTGGTGGGGACGGGGTGCATCGTTCTCGTGACGGCGTAAGCCTCAAAGAGTGCTCCCATCCTGTGTGTAACGGGCTACGGTCCAGCAACCGCCATCTGTACGTTTGGTATGCATGATTTCCCGGTAAGGCCGAAATGCTTCTGTTCTACTTGCCGAAGGAGTGTGGGCCGGCTCCGGTGATAAAACGTGACTCCCATTCAGATGCCTCCCGGTCTTATTCCTTCGGGTTTACACTGGACATGTGGTGTATAGGTGGAACTGTAGGTGATGCAGCACAAGCCGCATATAAACAAATAAATTGTGTATTCTCGACTAAGCGAGGCACGCCTGCGCAGGCATGATCATGTTAAGAGTACAAAATGCGATCAGTTAATGTACAATGGAACAATGGGATTGTTGCATATGTTTATATATATGAATGTATATGAATGCAGGCGGGAGAGCCTATGGTGCGCTGAGGCTGGTGGTGGCTAGATCCTGACAGATGGTCTACCCACTGCTGCTACTGCTGCGCCATAGTCTCATGTCCTGGGCGCCTCCACGTGGCGACCGCTGGGTGGGAGTTAGGTTTCGCCCTTCTCCCTGCTAAGATCCAGGACACCAATCCGCATGAGTCAGCTAACTGACCATGTGCTAGACCCGCTGCCTTTCGGGTGTTCATTTAATCGAAGGCTTTGGCTGAGGACCCGAGTCGTTCTCCTGTCAGGATTGGGCGCCCTGGCAGTATCCTAGTCCATCCTCTCCGGAGGTTAGGAAGTGGTCGATGGCCCACTTCCCGTAAAACCTAGCCATGGGAGACAACAGGTTACGGGTGATATTCTCAATGCTCGATTGGCGTAGAGCACGAGTGCCACGCATTGTCTCTGACGGTGGGAGGACACCTCCGGGTGTTCAATGGTTTGCTACTGCCCGCCTCAAGCCAGGCAGCCCCTGGTCAAATTGGTGCAAACCCGCCAAAAACCCACCTGCGTCTGGCCGTGGTCGCAGGTGCGTATCCAATTACGGTCGCAAAACATATGATAACTGTTCCAGAACCTCAAAGGCTGCGTGTGACGGCCGTCAAGCAGATCCCAATCTGTCTCTGCAATCACATTCCCGAGCTGGATCTGCTCTCCACTGCCTTGTGGGTCAGGCTATTGAGCCAAAGGCTCCGGGCGGAGTCCCTCAAGCAAACCTCCAAACCACCCACTGCCTTGTGGGTCAGGCTATTGAGCCAAAGGCTCCGGGTGGAGTCCCTCAAGCAAACCTCCAAACCACCCACTGCCTTGTGGGTCAGGCTATTGAGCCAAAGGCTCCGGGTGGAGTCCCTCAAGCAAACCTCCGAAGCACAACGACCACCTTGCGTGCGATTGCCCACCAATGCAATCGTATGCCTGCGCGCAAAGCACTCAGCATCGGGTGCTGGAACGTGCGCACACTACTGGACCGGAACTCGAGCGAGCGCCCGGAGCGACGCACTGCACTGGTCGCGAAGGAGCTGGCGCGCTACCACATCGATATTGCGGCGCTCAGTGAAACTCGGCTCGCTGAGCAAGGTAAGTTACATGAAGCAGGTGCTGGCTACACATTCTACTGGGTGGGGAACGCCGCCTCAGCACCACGTGAACATGGGGTCGGGATTTGCAATATCCGACCGCCTGAATGGCCAGCTGGTGGGTGAACCAACGGGCATCAGCGCGCGGCTGATGACTGTTCGCCTACGACTCGGAAGAGGTAAGTTTGCTACTTTCATAAGCACGTACGGTCCGACCATGTGTTATCCTGATGACACGCGTGATCAGTTCTACACTGAGCTATCCTCCGTGATACGGTCTGTGCCGAAGAGCGACCGACTATTTCTGCTGGGTGATTTCAACGCGCGCGTTGGGCGTGATGCATCAGCGTGGACAGATGTTATCGGTGCGCATGGCATTGGTTCAGCGAATGCGAACGGTGACAGGCTGCTCTCACTGTGTGCCACTCACGGCCTGACGATCACGAACACTCGGTTTGCACTGAGTGCGAGTGATATAGCAACTTGGACGCACCCACGGAGTGGTCACGCTCACCTGCTCGACTATGTCATCGTACGTCAGCGTGATATGCGTGAAGTGCGCATGACACGTGTACTGCGTGGAGCTGAGTGTGGCACTGATCACAAATTGGTTCGGACCAAACTGTACATATATTTTCGTAAATCGATGTATTGCACTCCCGCCGTGAATCGGCGTAAATTTAACATTCTCTCCCTCGGTACTGTGGCGAAACGTACTGAGCTGGAGAAGGCGATGGCTGCTCGCCTGTGTGGTGATGTGGACTGTATAGCCACAGTGGGCGACCTGTGGCACCACATTCGCGACCAGGTGACAGCTGCTGCGGAGGAGACCATCGGGCGCGCAAACTGTAAGCGGCCTGATTGGTTTGATGACAACAATGTGACGATTGACGCATTGGTGTCAGAGAAGAATGCAGCATTTGCTGCACATGTTGCAGACCCCAGTGACTTGGGGAAGAGTAGTCAGTTTCGCAAACTTCGACGGCGACTGACCCGAGAGCTCCGTCGCATTAAAAATGCATGGTGGACGGAGAAGGCGAAGCAGATGGAATGCTACGCCGAACGCCGTCAACACAAGGAATTCTTTGACTCCTTGAAGGCGGTGTATGGACCGAGATTGGAGCCTCTGAGGACACTGATCGATGGTAGTTCAGGCGCTACCTGCACCCAGACTGCAGACATAATGCAGGTCTGGCGGAAACACTTTGACTGTCTCTTGAACAACCGTTCAGAGATCGACTGGCCTACATTGAATGGCCTGAAGCAGCACGATGTGAAGGCGGATCTGGCGGATACGCCGAGACTGGATGAGACGCAGAGAGCACTTGCTCAGCTGCGAAACGGCAAATGTGCCGGAGGTGACGGGATCCCACCTGAAGTATTGAAACACGGTGGACCAGCGTTGTTGACTGCGCTGCACCACTTGGTGCAACGCGTGTGGATTGAGGAGGAGGTGCCTGCTGAGCTGAAGGATGCCCTTGTGCTACCACTGTACAAGGGCAAAGGTAGCAAGCAATGTTGCACGAATTATCGTGGCATCAACTTGCTGAGTTGTGTGGGCAAGGTGATTGCCCGAATCCTGCTCAATCGCCTCGTGAGTCAGGTTGTGGAACCAAACGTGGCGGAAGAGCAATGTGGATTCCGTTCGGGTCGCAGCACTATAGATATGGTGTTTGCGGCTCGTCAGTTGCAAGAGAAGTGCAGAGAACGACACCAGCCTTTGTACTCGCTTTTTGTTGATTTCACCAAGGCATTTGATACGGTGAACCGCGAGGCACTGTGGCTGGTGTTGGGTAAGTTTGGTTGCCCGCGTAAGTTTGTAAGTTTAATTGAATGTCTGCACAGTGGTATGCGAGCGAGGGTGCAGCTGAGTGGAGAGACCTCTGATGACTTTGCAGTTGTCTCTGGTGTGAAGCAAGGCTGTGTTTTAGCTCCTGCCCTGTTTAATATCTATCTTCATGCAATGCTGTCTTGTGCTTTTGATGCGGCTTGTGCTTACGGTGTTCGTGTGGAGCACCGTATTGATGGTGGGTTGCTGAACATCCGTCGTTTCGGTGCGAGAACTCTAGTCTGTGAGACAACTATCCGTATGTTGCTGTTTGCTGACGACTGTGCGTTGTTTTCACACAACGCGGATGAGTTGCAGCACATGACTAGTGCTCTGGCTTCGACAGCGGCCAAATTCGGGCTCACCATCAACACAAGCAAAACTGTCTGTCTCTTTCAGCCTTCACCGGAGGTGCAATCTTCAATATTGCCGCAAATCAGCATTGGTGCTGAAGTATTGGAAACCACCTCCCGCTTCTGCTACCTTGGGAGTGTGATGTCGACTGATCAGCAACTACACGTTGAGTTGCGTAATCGCGTGTCGAAGGCGGCAGCGGCATTCGGGAAGCTTGAGTACCGAGTGTGGAACAACCATCAGCTTAGCATTGGCACGAAGCTGATGGTGTACAAATCCATGGTACTGTCCGTTCTTCTATACGGCAGTGAAACGTGGACGATGTACCGGCGGGATGTGCGATATCTCGAGCGGTTCCATCAGCAGTGTCTGCGACGAATTTTGCGGATCGGCTGGGGCGCCAGAGTTGCAGACACGGAAGTGTTGCGCCGAAGTGGGATGTATGCAGTGGACTGCATACTTTTATTGAGACACCTGAGATGGCTCGGTCATGTGAGCCGTATGGATTCGACGCGGATACCGAAACAACTTTTATACGGTCAGCTGAGTACTGGGAAGCGGCACGTGGGGAAACCAAAGTTACGTTACCAGGACATGATTAAAGTGAGCCTCACACGTTCTAATCTTGATTGCAGATCATGGGAATCGAAGGCGGTTGATCGGCGTGCATGGCGCGATCTAATCACGAAGGCAGTTGCTGAAGTGCGGGAGAAATCCCTCATGCATGCAGAGAAGAAGCGGCAGTTGCGGAAGCGGCAAGCACCGATGAATTGTACTCCATCGACATCGAGCGCATTGTGCTGTAGAACATGCGGTCGCGAGTGCCTTAGTCAGGCAGGCCTAGTGAGCCATGAGAGAGGTCACTCGGGACCACTGCCGAAGCGACGACGGGTCCCGCAGTGAACGTAGGCAGCACCGGCGCAGCGTTTGTAGGCACGCTGAATTCGATTTACTAACCGCATGGTTGCATGCTAAGTCTCTTTATTTCAGGTGGTGGGTTTTCGGTTCTCTCCTAATGCCTTTCTTTCTCATATAAATGTCTAGTGGGCCATGCGCTGTGCCATTTGGGGCCACTACAGAAGCGACGACGGGTGCTGCAGAGAATTACGACGAGCCGGCGCAGCGTTTGTAGGCACGCTGAATTCGATTTACTAACCGCGTGCTTGCATGCTAAGTCTCTTTATTTCAGGTGGTGGGTTTACAGTGTTTACCTTAATGCTTTTCTTTCTCATATAAATATCTCCCTGTACTTTATTCCATTAACTTGCACACATCGCTTCAGCCAATTGTATTCGATTTCCATAACATTTTTGTGTTCGTGGCATTCCGTGAACTATACTTCCTGACCTCGTGCACTTAGCTAGGATTTGTTTGTAAACAACTTATTACGTATGCTATTTAATTAAGGTTTATGTCACCGTTTCCTTATGCATTAATCGAGTTTTTCTCTTTTTCTTTCTCTCTCTCTCTCAAGTGATTGGTTGTTGTTTGAAATCCCCGGTGTGGCTGCGCTTGATGTGCATGTTGACAAGGTGCCTACCTGTCTATTACCCACTACCTCGTCCATACTGGCTCCAGGAGACAGTTGGTCGTTGCTGGAGGGGACGGGGTGCACGGTCCTTGTGGCCGTGTTAGGCTCGAAGAGTGGTTCCATGCACTCAGTGTGGAGCGGACTACGGTCCAGCCACCGCCTTGTGTGCGCTTGAATCCCAAATACAGTGTGCTTGTGTTTGCCTGTGAAGGAGTGTGGGCCGGCTCCGTTGATGAAACGTGGTTCCCATCCGCATGCCTCCCGGTCTTATTCCTTCGGGTTTACACTGGATATGGGGTGTGTGGTTGGAGCTGTGGGTGGTGCAGCGCAAGCCATCCATGGTCCCTCTGTAGGCGCAGGCGTCCTGTGGCTTGCCACAGTGACAGGCAAATCCGAAACCGGATGCCGCCAACCATGTAAGTTTGCATGTAGGCATGTTTAGCTTTGTTTATGTTGGTAAATGTTTCCTGTCGTTTTGCTTGGATGTGTTTCATGGTGTCGCCAGTCTTGCTATCTGTGGACTTGAAGCGATTGTTCGGACAAGCAATGGGTGACTTTAGTTAGTGGCGAGTCACAACCGCCACGTCACAGTGTTGTTAAACGGATATATGTGGCTTTTTATAGGGAGAACGCTTGCCAGGCGAAAACCCACCACGTCCTGGAACACTGCCGCCGAACTATTTGCTGAAAGGGGGTAAACCCGAATCACCCAGCTGGCACCACGAGGAGGTTGTTCGGCTAGCCAGCCCTCTGTAGGCGCAGGCGTCCTGTGGCTGTCCGCTTGGAGGTCACAGTGACACACAAATCCGTATACAGATGCCGCATAATCGATATATATATATATATATATATATATATATATATATATATATATATATATATATATATATATATATATATATATATATATATATATATATGGTTGGCGGCATCCACTTTCGGATTTGCCGGTCACTGTGGCCAGCATACAGAGGAACCATGGGTGGCTTGCGCTGCACCACCTACACACCCCATATCCAGTGTAAAACCGAAGAACTAAGACCCGGAGGCATGTAGATGGGAGCCATGTTTCATCAACGAAGCCGACCCACACTCCTTCACAGGCAAACACAAGCACGCTGTACTTGGGAATCAATCGCACACAAGGCGGTGGCTGGACCGTTGTCCGCTATACACTGAGTGCATGCGACCGCCCATTGCTCCTAACACTACCACAAGGACCGTGCACCCCGTCCCCTCCAGCAACGGCCAGCTGTCTCTTAGAGTCAGTATGGACGAGGTAGTGGGTAATAGATAGGTAGGCACCTTGTCAACATGCACATCAAGCGCAGCCACACCGGGGATTTCAAGCAACAGCCAATCACTTGAGAGAAAGATAACAAAGAAATTAAATCGACTAATGCATAAGGAAACAGTGACATAAATCTTAAATTAATGAGCATATGAAATAAATTGTTTACAAGAGAATCCGAAATAAGTTCACGAGGTCAGAAAATATATTTTACGGAAATGGCCCAAACACGAAAATTTTATGGAAATTAACTACAATGGGCTTAAGCGACGTGGGCATGTTTACTGAAGAGAGTACAGGTAGACATTTATAGAAAGAAAAGCATCAGGACAAAATCGCAAACCCACCACCTGAAATAAAGGGACTTAGTATGCAAGCACGCGGTTAGTAAATCGAATGCAGCGTGCCTACAAACGTTGCGCCGGTTCTGACTACGTTCTATGCAGGACCCCTCCTCGCTTCGGTGGTGGTCCCGAGTGGCCTCGCTCATGGCTCACTAGGCCTGCCTGACTCAGGCACTCGCGACCGCATGTGCCACAGCACCATGCGCTCTATGTCGATGAAGTACAACCCCTCGGTGCTTGTCGCTTCCGCACTTGCCGCTTCTTCTCTGCATGTATGAGGTCTTCCTCTAGCACCTCGGCAACTGCCTTCGTGATTAGATTGTGCCATGTACGCCGATCAGCCGCCTTCGATTCCCATGACCTGCAATCAAGACTAGAACATGAGAGGCTCACTTTGATCTTGTCCTGGTAACGTAACTTTGCTTTCCCAGCATGCCGCTTCCAAATACTCAGCTACTCATATAAGTGTTGTTTCGGTA